TTGAAAAATAAGTACAACGCTTAATACAAATAATTAACTAGGTATCTATTTAAGTACCTGTAAAAATTCACTATTCAAAATATTAATTAAAATAATAATTTAACATTTCTCTTTTTTTTATTTGCAAACCTATTAATGACTTCTTAAAAATACGGTTTCCAAATGTTCCTATACTTTGGCTTATCTGTATTTTATAAAATCAATGGTTATAGCTTGGTCGCTCGGTCACAACATCGGTCGTATATAGAACCGTGATCAAAACTATTATTTATTCTCATGAAACATCCTACTTATACAAATATATACAAAATTTATAGGTATTTATATAACTATTATATATACTTATATAAATATTAGTAATTAAATCTGTAAAAAAAAAGCCCAAGGGTTGGGGGGCAATCGCCACGTCCACCCCCTAAATGTCCGCCCCTGCTCTAGGTTATGAAGACATTCAATCAATTTCTACCACATTTATAACTATACGTTTGTACTAACAAAGTAATAAAAATCGATAGTTTGATTAATTACTCGTCATCAATATTGACAATAACGTTTCATGCAGTTGAAAACGGTGGCACGAAAAATGTATTATTATTTATTAACGTTAATAATTTTCCTTTGGGATGATTGCATAACTTCTTTTTATTTTAATCACTTTTTTCTTAACATGATAAGTATGTAGTATAATAACGTAAAATATACATAATGTGTTATATAGGGTGTATATTATATTATACACTGTATAAGGATACAAGGATTGATTAAGAAACCACCTATTAATGACATTAGATTTCAATAGTAATATTTAATTTTTTACATATTTAATTAGTCAGGATTCTAGTTCTGTTTTAATCAACAACGATTAAATTAATCGGTTTAATTAATTTAATATTTTTATTATTCTACAATATATATATTTGTATATACAGTGGCATACATACGGGGGAGGGGGCAGTGGCGTATTCAGGGGGGCTAAGGGAGCTATAGCCCTCCATAGGCTGTGTTTATATGTATAGTGTATCTTGATTATTTAATAGAATCAATGGATGCTCGTTTTAATCAAAGGCTTATTGATGTTATGCCACTTGAAGGACTTATTTCGGCCAATTTAAATATGTATGACGATGAAAATATTATAAAAGCTGCTAAAATATATGCCCTAGATCTCCATGATGATACTTTATCTACAATCAGAGCTGACCTGTTCATATGGAGGCAACAATGGAGTCAAAATACTATTCCAAAACATAATTCTGCTCTTGATTTACTCTCTCATTGTACTAATCTTCAACCTAACATTGAAATACTTTTACAATTATTCGCCACGTTACCAGTTACCTCTTCCACTTTGGAAAGAACGTTTTCTGCATTTAATCGCTTAAAAATTTTTTTAAGAAGCACCATGTCGGAAAACAGACTGAATAAGTTAGCTATCGCTATTATAAATAAAAAAGAGCAATTCGATGAAAGTGAAATAATAACTGAATTTGCCAGAAATCCTAAGAGGATGCAGCTGTCTGAGTGGAGCAAGTGACTGAACACTGAAACCAAAATTATTATTATTATTATTATAAATTATGTATTAATAAATATTTTTAAAACTATACTAAAATGTTTGAATTACATTTAAAAACTTGGTGGTAGATGGGGGGGGGCTAAGGGTGTATTCTCATATCCTCTCTTACCTTACTTATCCAAAAAAGTAATTAGCCCCTCCCATTTAAAAATCCTGGCCACGTCACTGTGAGGGGGAGGGGGTTTCCGGGTTCAAACCCCTCCTAGGCAAAAAAAAAAAAAAGAAAATTGTTTTATTATTGATGACGTGTAATAAATTCGTAGTTTCATTATTACGTTTTGAACTTAAAATATACAACTACACAAATATTTTGATAATTAAATAATTATATTGATAGGTATTTGAAAGCTTTTGTTAACTATGCTGTTTTTATATTTCAATAGATATTAATTTACTGTAATGTAAAAGTAAACTGTAAATTGGTAAAAAAGTTGTGTAAAATAATATCTATTTAAAGCAGTTAATCTTATTTGTCTGTGCAACAAAAAAAAAAAAAAGATAACGATTATTTTTGTTAAACACCCCCTCCCCCCGAGCAAGATTGAATGTACGCCATTGTATACATATACTATTAAGATTCGAATTATCAAAGCTAATAAATACTAAAGCTTTAGATATAGAATTTAGAGTACATTTTAATTTAATATTAAATTTTATAATTTTAACTTATAAAGTTTCTTTATAATATTAATTATAAAAAATCATTAATAATACGTTGAAATAATACATTTTTATTTAATATTGAATAACATAGTAACATAGTAAGATATAAATAAAATAATAAAATAATAAAAAAAAATAAAAAGACTGCGCTATAAAACACTCTTGACTTAAATAAGTTAATGTAAATATTGATATATATATATATATATATATATATATATATATATATATGTATAAATAATGGCTTAATTGAAAACCAATAAAAACTTTTTAATTCTTACAACTTTAAATAGATATTTGATAATAACAATTATTGTCTAATATCTATAATTATTGCTTAAAATGAACCGTAGTTAACTGGTATTCACTATGTATTCATTAATAACGTCTTTCGTGTAAAATTAATATTGATCGTCGAAAAATATATCATGATTGCATGTAATATATGTTGTTCATATAAAATAAAATAATACTTCGTTATAGTAATTGCTTTTATAGTCTTTTAGTCGTATTAATGTCATACGCCGAAGACGTAATTTTAACCTCCCAGCGTAACTACCTTGAATACATAAATTATTTAATTAAAGAATTAAAATGCATGGATACGAATAATCACCAATTTTATCTTTTGTTCTTAGTAAATTCTATAAAATATAAAGAACGAAAAAGGTACTATATGCAGTTAATTTCATTATTATATCTATAGCTTTTGTCAAAACGTTCCAGTCTTTCATGAGTGTATTCATGTGTAAACTTTTGAGTGTGTTTGTGCAGTAGGTAAAAATCCTTAGAATAAGCCCTGGAACACGCTGTATTCTATCAATAATTTAAATTTAAAATTATACTAAGGAAATATGTAATTAGTGTAGTTTTATACGGAGTGTAGTTACAACGAAATACTTTTAAAAGTAATTTTTTGTTTGTTTTTATTTCAGATTAACGCTTTTATAGGGCAAATCAATACACTCTTCTTTTGATTAAAATGTTTAGTTTTCATTCAAGTATAAAGAAAACTGTGAACCAACCTAATCTAACCTAACTTGTTCGAACATTCGAATCGACTTTGTGAGAATGTGACATAATAAAAGATATGTGTTATGTGTGATGTGCATTAAATATGAAGACATTCTTAAACAAAGACATAGGATATTTGGGAAAATTTAAGACAAACCCGTGAGCTAATATTCAAAATTTTATCAAAGTGATTTATACTGCGAACCAAAATATTATTTTAATGTATCGAGAAGTTGAAATAAAGAGGTAATATAAATAAGTCCTGAGTTTTTATAAAATCGATATTTATTACAAACATAAAATTATTGAATAGTGAACTTTATTTCATATATCCCTTATCTTACATAAAACATGAATTCCATAATCCTTAAAACTTGAGAATTTCCATTTTTTTTGTAGTATTTTCTACTCTTATGGCTTTGTGGTATTTAATTAAATTTACAAGTTTTTCAACACGAATAAACGTATTGTAAAATTATAATAATTTTTCATAGAACAGTAGTATTGTTTTTTGGTATTGTTATTATTTTCATTATTTATTAATTTGTATTACCCTTATTTCATTGTACATCTGTAAGACTATCACACAAATACGTAATATGAGCATAAAATTAAATTTAAATTAAATACGCGTTGCATTAGCATTTATTGCTTAAATTAGGTACAATCAAGTATCACGGGTGTGCTTCGTAAAACAATTTGTTCTGCACATATTATTGTGCGTTAGACTGATTTTACTTTTGAATTAATTTTTGCCAAGTAATAATCATAAAAGCTCAAAATATGTGCGTGTATATACGCGTTTGTTCACAAAAGTTGACGGTACCTATTCACCTCAAATGAGTGTGTTATACTAGTCCCGTCCCTAGACCCTTTTATGAGGGGACGAAATTCGTGTATTCATATTTATGCTTGTTCCAAGTGAAATAAATAATAAACAACAAACATTTGAAGAAAATCCCATGGGTGGGTTGATCGCCCCCGAGGACGCTACTGTTATGTACCAAAAAGGTCTGGTAATATTTTTTTAGGTTTAAGTATCAATGGGTGGCTGTAAATAAAAATACCTAAAAAACAAAAGAGACGATCCGTAGATCCGTAAATACGTACTTTTACGATTACGATTCGATTCGGCGGAAGACCCTGAAACTGTTCTAAGCGCCACACGAAATCACAAAAATCCGATATGACCCAGATACACCCCGGTACGTCGTCGGTTGTACACGCGGGTTAAGGGGAGATGTTCGAGAATTTAAATTCAAATGATGTAATATTGAATAGTTGATGTGAAAACAATATAAAATATATGATAAAAATACAAACGCTTTGACGACGCGAAACGTAGCCGATTCATCTGCAGCTAAGTATGAGTGCGCGGTATCATTATTGTAACGCCGGGGATAAATACGCATAACACATTTCATAACGATACGTAATATAACCGGAAGCCGATAGAACAAAGGGTATACGTATAAGTGCACACAATAATATCATTACTGCCTCCGTCGTACAGGTACGTATGTACGGAAAAACGTCGTCGCTCTGCCCACACACCCGTCGTGATCATGGCAATAACCTCGGGCACGTTGATACGTAGGTGTTAACGTACGTGCGTGCATTATTATGTTTATCGCGTAACCAATTTTGTGTGCATAGATTTTGTAAGACCGTGTGACAACAATCATAGTTACATTGAAAACCAATCAAATCACCAGGGTGAGGGGGGGAGGGTTAAACGGACGACGATGAAGAGGGAGCAGTGCGGAAATCATCGTCACCGATTTCGCCGTACACAGGGTGTGCGCACGTACACGGTGAATATATCGATCGACGCGGCGGCGGCGGCTTCGGCGGAGGTGTACGGTCGCTGATGCCTTCCCCACTACAGCTTCGTCGGCGGCGGCGGCGGCGGCGGGAAGAAGGGCGCTCGTTCCTCGTTGTCTAGCGGTGAACGCTACCGACACGCACCGACACCGGCGGGACGTGGCGTCGTCGCGCACACAACGTCCCGAGTCCACGTCCACAGCGGTACGCCGTGAGTTAGGTCGCGCGGCCACCGTGTGCGCGCCGTACACCTACTAAATCATATACACTACATCACTACAGTTGTCTGCGGCCGCGTGTTGTTCGGGTGTCGGTGCGTGCGATGCGATCCCGGTCGCGGGTTACCGGTGGCACGACGACGACAACAGCTGACGACGAAGACGACTGGCATGGCCACAACGATAGCAGCACCTCGCAGCTGAATCGTGAACAACGGCCGAGATCGCGAGAACGCCGCGTCGCCGCGGGTACCAACACCGCCGCGGATATCACCATCGACGCGGGTACCACCACCACCAACACCAGCACTACTATCACTTCGTCCTCCGATGTAAGTATACGTGTGCAATGTTTTTCCTTGTACCATGCCGTTGCTGGTGTTGGCCAGTCGGAAAATATGTACTTGAATCGTTATCTGTGAAAATGGGTCTAGTCTAATTTTTCCGATTATTTTTCGAGACAGATGAAAAACTAAAAGCCTCCTTCCTATTCCTATATTGATTACTATTTTCCATGCACTATTTTTAGATGTTTATACCATTGGAGATTCATTGTCTCGTTTCTGTAGTGAACTGTTTATTTACGCGTACTTAATACAAATCGATAACAATAATTTAGTTCGGAGGCGGAACACATGACGGCACCGATAGTTTTATTCTTCCTGTTTTATTGCTTCAGAAGTTTTCCGAGGACCAGAAGGACAATCGCGGTTCTCAAATTTCCGTTTTAAACTGTTATAAAAATTTCCTGTGCTCGATATTCGTACACCTGTCCTACATTCGCTGAAAATGGCCGATATCATGCAGGTACATGTAGGTCAAGATTTAACAGGGGTTGAAATGCACCAGCACCTTGAGCCATGAGAGCAACTAGAGCCCAAATATTGAGGGTGTTGAAATTGCTTGAAATAAAATAAATGGTATTTAACTGTAATTACTAAAGATTATATAGATCTGAAAAAAAAACAGGAGTGTTACATTTGAAATCAAGGGTGCTAAAAACCCTATTGAGCCCCCTAGTTGTGCCTATGCCTTGAGCTTTAAAAAATTTCTAAAACCAAAATCTTAAATTAAAATTATCTGTTATATTATTTGCTTTAAATTTATTGTGCTCTTTTTTTTTTTTATATTTATTCATTGTATTTTATTCAACAACTCATAATGGTGAATTTATAAATTGAAATTTCTTAACGTGTATTTGAAAGTGATAAGTACAAAAACGAAAAAATAAGTTACTTTTACAAATTTTTTTTTTTAAAAGTTTTCTTGGGTATTTCAACCCCGGCCGCTTAAGACAAAGATCCGATACTGTGTACTCGAAAATCTTCTACAGAAATCGGAATATGCTCAGATTGTGTTTTGTATAAATAAATATTTATACTGAAGGCGACTGAAAATTTGTTGATAGTCATTTTTTTGGGTTCCTTAGACATATTTTATTATACGCTTTACGTATCTATAAATTCTAAAAAATGTACCGCTGTCTTGATATATAAAATAAATAAAAAGTATGTTGAATATATAAAAATTAAAAGTAGTTTTTATTAATATATTTTTAAAAAGCCCTTTATTTAGTAGCTGCCTTGGAGTCTTGAGACCCTAAAATATGGCATTTTTTGGATATAGAAGAAATCAAAGGTGGGCATTAACTTGTTTGTTTATTTTCTTATAAACTTTTTAACTTAACTAGTTTAATTGATAGTTGAAATAACTTAGCTTTTCGCAGTTGATTTAAAAATGATCTATCAAGTAAAAAAATTTTGAAATTTTTCGTTTATAGTAAAAATTAATATAAAAATTAAATAATCATGTAAAGTAAGATGGTCGCATACACTGTACGTAAGATATCATATTAGATTTTGTAGGTTGGAGGCCCACCTTTAGGTATTGGGTTCTGGCCGTGGATACAGAATGTTATGTATAAAGAATTTTAACTATAAAGATAAATAAATATGGTAGTAAATAAGGTGTCCAACACTTCGGTGTCACTACTGTATATTTTGATAAAAAATGCAATAAAATTGTTTATTATAATTTAGGAAATCAAATCTTTCTAAAAAACGCGGTTTCTTTTTATGTGATCTATATACTTATTAAAAAAAAATGGTTAACTTTTTCAAACTGAGTTAAGTTAATATTTTTTCCATATTAAATTTTAATTTACCGAGTAAAATTTATGAATTATTAACTGTTAACTTTTAATTTATCGATCAATTGCTTTCTTAACTTAATTTTACTCGAGTTAATTATTTCCAGTAATTTGCCCACCTTTGGAATAAATATAGAATAAGTGGAACATTTTCGTGGTTTAAGAAAAATTTTATATGTTATAGTCGTGATAAAAAAATTGTTGCTTCTTCCTAATAAAATTGCTTTCACTATTTACAACTTTAAGCTCAAGTCTAAGATGGAATACCAAGTAACTTTTGAAATCTATACCAACCAGTAATACATACTTTGTTATAAATATTTACAAAACATTTCACGAATTCATCTACTTCCCAAAGAATGAATCTTATACATTTATTTACCTTTAGATACACAATTATCCAAACCGGTGCAATATGATCACCTGGATCGCTCTGCCTTCAACACCATTTTTTATGTAAAGCTTAATTCCTCATTTTGCAGAATTTTAAGTTATCTTTAACCTATATCAGTATCTTGTTAAAATAATATAATACATGTGTAGTATTCTGTTTAATCCTCGGTGTGTAAGTTTTATAAAATTTTTTTTTTTTTTTTGAATGTTGATGCTATTTACGTCATTCGGGTTTTAATTATACGCATCGTTATTGTGGCTGCATACAACTCAATAAATTATGTTCGTTTATAGTATACGAGTATACACATCTTTCAATTAGACACCATAGGAAAATATATTGTTTTGAAACCGGCCCCATACTGTGTACTTAATAATTACATAAATTACTTAATTTACATCTATAGTTACATTAATATATGTATACGAATTTCGTACATGAACTGATATCAAACTTATACAAATGTATGTATCACGCTTAAAAATTAAAACGCCTAGAAATAAACTCAAAATTATTTGTTTTCTTATTAAAATTAGTCTTATGAATTATACAGTATGTTGCTTATATGAATATGGTAAAACTTGATATTATTAAGTCTAACTAGTTTACTCTGGTGTTAGTATAACGATTAACAAGTAAAATTGTAGTTATTTAAAAGTCGTTAGGTGATCATTTTTTCATATATTATTCTGTGGATTTACATAAGTGTTGAAAAAAATCATAATAAATTTATATGTTGCATCAGGTAACAGTTTTTCTTAAAATGTACTTATAGAAAATAGCTATAGTATATAATATTTAATTATATCAGCATACAGGGGTGTAAAAAAAAAAAAATGTTATTATAATTTGCAATAATATACAAATAAACTAAACTTATTTTAATTAATATTTATGACAAATAACTAAGTTTGAAAAAAAAAATGAAATTGTTTTTTGTAAAAGGGCCTCACTAAAATTAATAGCACCCCTCATATTTTGACCATAATCCGGCCCTGACAGCATTTGTTCATCGCGAGGCCATTAGTTACACACAGTCAATTATAAACATTTTCATAAGTCAGTTACATAAATAATACTGATCACATGTATATTTGTATGCATTTAATACGCCTTTGTATTCGTACTTGAATTGTTTTTACAGTGTATATAATTTATTCATATAATAATTTTATCTTAGTAATTTGTATTTATTTTACATCTTTATTAAGAATACATATTTTATTCTTATTAATATAATTTGACTAAAATGTTTACTTATTACCATACTTGATTTTATTTATTATAATAAATAATCAACAATATAATTTAATATCATCAACAATAATATTATATTTTCGCATTGTGTTCCAAGTAAACTTACATTAATAATAATAACTAACGTAAACAAATATAAATTTAACTGTAAAAAATAAATTATATGGAATAATATAATGAAGTATTTCGAATAATATAAATAAAAACTTAGGTAAATAGGTGTACAAAAAATCATGGGTGCATTCAAGAGTGGTCCCAGATAATATTGATGATAAAGATAAATAACCAATTGAGTCCGATTATAAAAACAATAACATACGAATTCGGTCCGATAATAAAACCATAAAATACTAGTTCAGTCCGACCACTACGATAATCAAACCTGTAACTGACAAATATTGTTGATACACTTGATAATGTTAGAAAATTAATAGATTTGAGTTTGTATAAGCTCGATCATTTAAATTTTTACCAATTGTGTACATTTTTAAATGTTTAGTCATTCAATTTATTTATTTACCACATACCGGTATTTTAATTTTCAATTAAAAATTATATACTATACATTAGAAACTTTAAAAAAAAAATCATACCTGTGTTCTAATTTATAGGTAACCGACAATCTTAAGTCTGTAAAAATGAAAAGGGGTTTTTTTTTTGTGTGAACCCTACTAGAGCAGTACTTGTAAAATCTTGGGATCCAACTAGTGTATTACCTGAAAAATACTGGGACACAATAATTGTGTAATAATTGTATAATAATTGTATAATTATTAGTGTACTACCTGAAAATCACTGGGACCTAACTAGACTAAATAAGGGTCTTCAAGACCCTACAAGTAACCACCGCTTTCAATCATACAATTAACAAGGTGAATCATAGAAATTAAATGAATAAATACTTAAACTTTTAAAATACTTTAATAGTTTCATCTGAAATTAACTGTTATTTTTATCCTCAAGTACCAGCATGAAAAATGATTTATTTACATAACAAAGAATTCAAGGTAAATTTATATTTAAAAGTATAATATAAATAAGTACAATTTTAAAAGTTCTATTGAAACTACTTTGTCCAAAATGTATTTAGTTTTGACTAAATATGGATCTTATTATATTACAATAAACAATATTAGATTATTTTTGCCTTATTTTTGATTATTATTGATTATTATATCTATACAGTCCTAAAATTATGGTAAAATGTTTAAGTAAAAATATAATTGATGCATTGTTTTAATTGTAATAATAATATAAATTACAACATTTTTCAATGTTGAAATGAGCATACATTTTTATTTGCACAATCTTGTTATTAAAATAATTTGATAATTACTCGAAATATGCAATTCACAATCAGTTGTGAATCAATTAACTAATCTAATTTTCAATTTTTAATAATAGTCAATAAAACCCTGTTTGCATTGACTTATATGATATTAGTATATTATAAATATTTATTTTTTTAGAAATTATTTGGTTGACCGCCAAATTGATGATAAAAATTAATTTAAGAATAACATTTATTTATGGAAAAATAATAAATCTATGAAGGTAAAATAACATATTTTATAAGCCATTTTTGACCAGTTAGTGCAATTTCATAAGTGATGAGTCATTGCTCGTTTGATTAATACACAGAAAAATAACCTAAATACATGTGTTTATGTTAAAAAACATATATTAACTTTCATCAGAATATGTTATAGTATGTGTCCACAACGTAGATATAACCTATTTAACGATCATCGTTACAGAAATTAAGTTTTGGAAAAAATTTTAAATGAGGCATACTATTGCCTTTAGTAAATTGTGCTTGTCGTTATAATTGATTAAACAGAAGAAATTATTAGTAATTATTGAAATAACCAAATTGTTAAATATCATTATAATATGTTACACAATGATCTGTATTGATAATAATAGTTATAATATTCTATATTATTAATATGTAGTTAAATTTTTTCAGCGTATTATTTCGAAAATATTAAACAATGAGTCTAAAAAAAAAACCCAAAGAAGAAGACCACGAAGCACTGGCAGAAGACGAAGCTATCACAGGTGATTTAACGAATATATTTTAAGACTATATAACATAGTTGAATGTTTGCACATAAATGTTGTGAAATTATTCATAAAAATAAAACCATGTTCTATAACAGGGGTGGCAAACCTATAGCACGCGTGCCAAAAATGGCAAGTTGACCAAATTCTAATGGAATGCGCAAAAAATTAAAATTGTACAAAATTAAAAAATAATAAAAAATTTTTTTTTACTATTTTTAAAATGTTGGTTGTAAAAAATTCAAATAAACAAATTATATATGTTTTAAAAATGACAATATTCCTTATGTTTTCGTTTTTTCGTCAACCTATGTTCGTGAAAGCTTATTCGTCATAAAAAATGTAATTAAATCGAAGGAAAGAATGGTTTTGACCAACGAAACAATTGCTGCATATGTTTTACTAAGGATAACTAAAATTTACTCGTAATAAAAATAATTTAATAAATCTGTTATTTTGTTTATAGTCTTAGAAAATATAGTTTTCTTTGGGCACGTAAACAATTTTCAAAACCTGAAAAAAAAAATTTGGCATTTGAACCTAAAAAGGTTCGCCACCCCTGTTCTAGAATATGAACTTGAAAAAATTAGGAGTATTAAAAATAATATTTATCGTATTTTTTGAAGGTTTTTTTTAACAATTATACACGAAGTATTGACATTACATGTATTATTATGCTAAGTATGCATTTTTATAGTTACATTCCATTAGAAATATCCAAAAAAATATCTACAGAATTTTACAATTTAATCATAGGATGTCTAGTATACTTATTGAATTATATATGTATGTATATATATTTATATATTAGTTTTTGGCTACTATACCTGTACGGTCAAGGGTCAATAACATGTTATTTTTTAACTGTCCCAATAAAGTTGTCTCCCGCTCATGGTTTCTTTAAATAATATTTATAATTTACTATAAACAAAAAATAAATTGATTTATAGTTGATTCTCTTGAACTCAATTATTCGTATAATTTTCCGATCGATCGCAGTCGTTGTCGAAATATTATACAATGCTAACTTTATTTTTACGGCTTACAGAAGGTGAAAACAACATACACACTTTTTTATAGCCATTGCCAATGTCAGTGTACCTACTAATGATTTAGTTACTACTCTTACTGACCATCGACCATGTCATTCATTAAGTTTAAAAATACTTGTTGAGACACAACTCAAATGAAGGTTCTTACCTCACAATGCTAATTTTTCAACCAAATACCTTAAGCAAGTACAATTTTTTTATTGTAAGAAAAAAACATGACCGGTCCTATTTTTAACCTTTCAAAAAACCTTAGTTCACTTCTTTTTTAGAAGTAATGTAATTCATACCTTACTGTTAAATAATCCTTATTTGGCAGATAGTTACAAACGTTTACTAAGAGTTAAAAATCCTTATATAATATACACGTCTGAAAATATTAATATGTTAACATGTATGCAAGAATACAATTAAATTAAATAATTTGTAGTTACGAGTTTGTAAAACTAATTTTATAATCGTTTATATTATCTATTTGCAAAGATATTTTAAAATACATTCAATATAATATATTATAATAATAATTTATATAATAATTATAATATAATATTGAATAATTTTAAATTAATTACATGATTTTAATTTAAAATCTATTGTCGTTGATAATCAAATACTTATCAAATGTATACAAATTAATATATTTAGTTTGAATTTTGTAAAAATAAATCATAGCTGCTACACTATATTATTGGATTAATTTATATTTATCTTTAGAAATCAATTTAAGAAAAATTAATTACTTTAGAAGAATTTTATGTTTCTACTTAATTCAATAAAAAAATTTTAAAATGTATAAAATATTTTGTTTTCAAGATGAAACATAATTTATAATTTGGTGAATAATTAAAAAAAAAAAAAATGAATACTTTTAATGATTATTATTGAATATATAGATAATATTGATATTTTTTAGGTTTTAATTTTACAATGTTTTAACTTTGAAGTACTAAAAACTGAAATTTACTTAATTTTCTTGTATTGATTAATAATATAACTATGGTTAAATTGGGTAAATATATTCAAACACCATTGTTTAAAAAAACGTGTTTGCAGCACTCCTTTTTTCCATCTTGATCAATACACCAACAAATAACAAGTAACAATAGTATAACAATTTAGTTTCACTTTACTGGGTATTCTTTAAGTGTCATCCAAACATTTTTTTTAAATAATAATTTACTATTTTCACTTCATAAATTAATAAAATTCCTTGTATTACTTCAACGTTATTTATTGACGGGTTCGTTATAAATTATTTTCATAGTGGTAAGACGCAGATATAGAATAATTAACTATTAAATAATAAAATGTGTGTTTTAAATTTTATAACTAAACAAATAATCAAACTTTTCTCATAATTATATTTTTTCTTTAATATTTTTAGTATAAGTTATTTATTTTATAAGTAAAAAAAAATAAAAAAAAAAATTAAATTATATTATTATAGATTTGAAAGCTCTTAACTATAAAAGGACTAATGGTTTTTAATAAAATTTTTTATAAAAAATTATAATTTTGATGTTATATTATAATTCATTAACACATTTACATAATATTTTAGATGGTCAAAACTATATACTTGTTCCTCCAGACGGAGGATGGGGCTGGCTGGTGCTTCTAGGCAGCACACTAGTCAATATGTTGATACCAGGCACACTTAAGTCATTTGGGGTGCTTTTCGTAGAGTTTACTGAAGCATTTCATGCATCAGAGACCGCAGCGTCCTGGATACCGGCCATATGCTATTTTCTCTACTGTTCTTTGGGTAAATATTATAATTATAAGATTGACAATAGTATGCTTATAAATTAAATACATTATCATAAGTCATTAGCAAATTATTATTTATTTATTAACGATCATAATTCAACATTAAATAATTTTTGTTTTATCATGTAAAAGCACAGCTAATTAAAATAGAGTAAATGAGTTAACAATTAAATTATTTAATTCGTAAAATAATACGTAAAATCGTATATTTTTCAATATGTACTTAAAATTTAAAATTCAAATACTAAATTAGATTCTCAAAATGAGATGATTTTATTCATGCTATTGATTAAATAGTTCGTATTAAATTAATTTATATTTATCTCTTAACATGTAAGTTGTAACTTTACTAAAACGTGTGATTAAAATCATACACATTTAATTACTACATTTATAAGGCTTAAGAAATGTCGAGATGTTTTAAAGAAATAAATACCTTATATTAATAAACATTTAACTTTTATTTGATTAAAATGTGAGCATTTACTTGAAGTTTAACATAATTTATCAAATGTGTAGTTAATTTCTTGTATTACATCAACTTTCATCTCTAAATTTAATTTTATTCGTCATTATGGTTATTTTCTGCAATAATTATAATTTCATTTTTTTTTAAATATGTAATATAATATATAACTAAATCAATAAAAATAATTTAACACAATTTATACTCATTTTATTTATGATTTGAAATTAAATAATAAATAATAGATTTAATAATATATTTTATAATATATGTATTTTATATATTTTATTTAAAAAAAAATTACAAATTATTAGAGAGCATATTTTTTAAACTAAAATCTGAATAAAATTTAAAAAACAACTAGTTTAAATTAATATGAAATTGGTAAATTATTTAAGAAAAATAATATTATTACATCATAAAAAAATGTGCTGTGATTATGAAACGTAATTGTTTTTAATTTAAATGAAACAAATATAAAATTTGAAAAACAATTTGGATTTAAATTTGACTGACATCTAATATTTTTTTTTATTTAAAAAATAACATTCATAATCTTTTTAAATTATACTAAATGTAAAATATACTTTGTATAGTTAATTATAAACTTAAATTAATAAGGAAAGTTAATTTTTGGCAGTAGGTTTCTCATTTGAGCAGCTTATTATTGAACTACATTAATTTAGTTTCCCTAGCTTTTGTATAAGTATAATAATATAAATAATGAGTAGGATGTAGATTTTAATGCCTAAAAAAATACCTTAAAATGCCTTAGAAAAAATGCAATTATGACCTAAAAATGAAATTAATGACGTAAAAAATGCATTATAAATGTGAAAAATTTAATTAATTACGTGAAAAATGTATTAAAAATGTGAAAAATGGCTATTAAAAATACACTAAAATTTATTAATTTTATCTAATCAACGCTCTCTAGCTGTTTCTTGATTCTGTTTCTTGTATTTTTATGGTCACATTAAATTGACAATTTTAAATTAGTAAATTAAAAATAGTGTTAGTTATAAACAGTCAAAATTTAAAAAAATTCTTTTTTTTTTAATAATATTCAAGTATTTTTACCTTGTGATAGTATGTGATGGTTGCACTGCACAACGTTCTCTGGTTATTAGTTAATAGACGGGACTGTGTACACGTAGTCCGTATTATTGTTATCGTTATCGACTATTATACCATAATTTAATGACATAACGATAACATAAGACGATAAAGTGTAGTTGTCAATAATTTAATTGAAGAAAAATATTGAATATTTGAAAATTTTTAATTCTTTCTAAAAATGCTACATTTTTAAACGATTATGAAAATAATGTCCTTTAAAGAAATGAAAATATCAAAAATACATTAAAGAAGTAAATATGATATATAATACAAAAAAATACAAAAAAAAAAAAAAAAAAATTGAATTATATGAATCTACACCACTGGAAACATATTTTTGCCAAATTGAGCAACGCGTTAGAATTTAGAAGAAAAAAATGCATTTTGCATTGAAATTCGCGCCCTAATGATACACATTTGATAGTTAGAGACATGGATATTATGGAGTATTTATAAAATTTGATTTTTTAATATTAGATATATAAATGATTAATTTTGCTTAATTTAATAACATTTCGTTACATTGTTGTATCATTATATTAATAAAAGAAAAAATGTATTATTTTTATCAAATTTCCAGATTTCAGACTCCGTTATTCTACTTATATAATTCTAAATATAGTCACACCTGTATACCTACCTTAAATCAATAACTTTTATGGCCTGGCCAATATCAGTAATGGATTAATCATTAAACAATTAAATTGTACCACGCTATTGAATACCTGCACTAAGAAATATAAACTTATAATACAATGAAAATAATGACTTTAATATTGAATAGTGTTTTTTGTATGAGATGAGACTAAAAAATATATAATTAATACACCATTATAATATTCAAGAATAATACGAGTAGTAGATTATCTGGGATTTTTCCTTGGAAAGAATATAAAAATGTGGAACCTCGATAAGTCGAAACTTAAAAGAAATTATATATTTCGATTCATCGAGGTTTCAGAAAAAAAAAAGTTTTTTAAATTTATTATCGTATTTTATTACAAGTATTACATAAATTACAATAGGTATTATCTTAAAATGGTAATAAAAAAATTTAATATAAAATGTGAAGTTACAGTGTTACAATTTTACAAAAAATAATTTAAGATATTACTTTGAGTTAGATTCTTATACGTATCATTGTTAATAGTATTTTCTTCACATTTAAAGCAGTCCACATCACTAAAATGTTCGGTAAATGTTCTTAGCAATTTGAGTGCAGTTTTTGCTTGTTTTACTGAAACATGAGATACTGGCTCAAATGACTCTTCGTCAACGTCACAATATCTGTAATGCCACTAACAGAGTCAATTATATCATCGTCTGCTAAAGTATCAGAAACGGTGACGTCTTCGTCAATTTCAACAAAATTTTCAAATGATTTTTTCGTTACCAGAATGTTTCTTTTTTGTTACCAGAGCCCATTTTCTATTCATTACGGTATTTTCGATGATTGGTATAAATACAACTTCCTCAGCTCCAAGTAAAAATCACACGATTTAAAGCAGTTCGCGACCGTAGTCGCTGTTGCGTTTCTTCATTCTTATTCAAATAATTCGCATAATTTAAAGAATATCGATTAAAGTGAATTTTTCGTCTTACATATCGCATATAATTTTCCTTATAATTTCTTTTCTATAAAGCATTTTGAACGGTTTTTATAATTTCTTAATCAAAAGGCTGCGATTTTGAAGTTGTATTTGGCGGCAGCAATTTAAATTTTACAGCTTCACAATTTGATATAGAATTGTGAACGGGGGATTATTTTTAAACAATACAATTTTTCTTTTTTGTGTTTTCACTTTGTTATCAATTCTTAATAGCCATTCCCCAAATAGTTCACCAATCATTCATGCTTTCTTATTCGCTGTGTATATAATAGGAGAAGATTTGACACCAGAAAAACGGCTGGTTTTTTTGACTTTCCTCACAATACATTTTTCATTTTATTCGTAACGGTCATGTTTACAGACAATAATAGTGTGAGTCGTTCCTTACTAAGCTTACCACCACTATATTTCTCATTTTTAAATTTTAGAGTTTTATCTGGCATACGTAAATAATAATAAATAATTACAGTTTTGTCTGCGTTGAATAAATCATATGGTCTATATCTTTTTAGTAGGTCACTCAAATGTATTTTCCATTATTTGACAACGTCATCACTGAGAGCTGCACTTTCACCGCATACTTTTCTAAAAGCAATATTGTGCAGTTTCTTAAAATTTTAAAGGCAATTGCTACTGGCTTTGAATTTTTCGTGGCCTAATAATTTTGCAATTTTTTTTGCTTTTTCTGTTATAATAGGACCATCGATTCTGACATTGGCATCTCTGCATTGCTTAATTCACTTAGCTACACTATCTTTTATTTTTGAAAATGTAGAGTCTGTCTTCCTCTTCCGATCTGTTGAAAAGTTCAAATCAATTTCCTTACTATTTTCCATAATGGTAGATAGTGGTTTTGATGATATTTCAAATTCATCAGGGATATATTTTTTTTTAAATATAATCATAATAATTTAAATAGTAAAAATGTCAATAAAACTGAGAAGTGATTTTCAAATATTTTTGATTGGATCACAAATCACCCAAATTTCTGGCTCAAAACTTCCATCCAACGGGCAAGTATTTTCTGTATTTTACTACAATATGAGCATCATTAAGTATGCGAAAGTACGGCGTTAGCTGTACGAGTGTTGCATTTGTTGGGAAAAAGCCCGGGTTCCTATTCGAGCTATTCATCATTGCATAACTAAATTAATTAACTTGTACGACGAATGGCGTAATCTCCAGAAAAATGCTCAAAAAGTTGGTGAATCTTATCGGTTTAAAGAAAATGATTTAGAAAAAAAATTAGATTTATTATTTAATATTGCTCATTCTGATGCGTTGAAATTAATTAAAATTGAAGATGATAAAAAATTTCTATTAAACCAACGTTTACGTGGGCGTCCTGGTTATCTTGGAGGTATAGATATTAAAGGAACAATAAAAGAAAATATTTGCATTCAACGAAAGTTGAATGAATCGAAAAGAAAAGAAATGTATACTACAAACTGTGCTCCAACTTCGATATTACTCAATAATTCATTTGAGCAAACTTTAGAAACTGATAGACTAGAGCAGTGGTTTTCAATCTTTTTTGTATGACGACACCCTAATTTAGATATATAAAAATGGCGACACACTTGAAACAATAAATGGATTTTATTATTATTGGACATTTTATTTAAAAGTTTTAAATTTAAAAAAAAAGTCTTAATATACGATTACTTGATTAAAATTTAAAAAGTTCAAAGAATGTTTTATGAAAAACAGTATTAGTTCATAAGTATGCAGGCCTGCATAGGTCTTCGATTCATGGGAAAATGTTTAACAAACTTTCGCGTAATTTACTCTCAATATCTTTTTTGCTTTTTGTTATTTCCAATATCGAATATGCTGATTCAGGCATGTATGATGTTGAAAAGAAAACGAAATTTTCAATTCTTATTATTCTTGTGTATTGAATTTACAGAGAAGTTCAAAATGAAACATTTTGAGACATACAAAATTTAGATTATAACGTTATATTTGATGATATTTCTAAAAAATAAGAATCTATAATAATATTAATAAAAATATTTTTTTATATGCGGCTTTTATTATTTCATCATAATTCCGTAATAATATACGTTCATACTTTGAAAGCTTATTATTTTAATTAATAATATTTTGGCGATACACTCTAAAGTAATACGTGACACACTAGTATGTCACGACACACCAGTTGAGAACCACGGGACTAAAGAGTAGTGATGTGTCGGAATTAGAGATCAGCATTAATTATTTAGAGTTGATAGAACCACCAACAAAAAAAAGAAATGCCGAGGAAAAATAAATTTTATAACACCAAAACTGGCCGGAGCGTTAGATAGATGTCACTTAAGTATTCGAGATTCTGTATATGTTCTTCAAGCTACTTTAGATGCTTTAAATTGTAATATAGACGATTACATAATAAACCAGTATTATCTAACACAGTATCTCTAACACAGAGCTCGAGAATCATACCATTGCATGGTGAACTAATAAAATTATAATTTAAACAATTTCCACCTAATTACGCAGTCATACATTGGGGCGCATATTATGCATTTATAACGTATTTAAGATACTAAGATAATATATATGATATTTATATATTTTAAGAGATACCCAGATATTCTTAACTATTTGTATGTAATATTAATACTATAAACATGCAACTTAAAGTTATATTATGTATTCAAGCATATTATTTTATATTTTTTTTTATAAATTTTTATATATTGTATTTAATCTATGTTATATGTATTTCTCATCTTTCACTACAACAATTCAATAATATTTCTAATCATACCAAATAATACAATGATTTAAAAAAGTTTTAATTTCTATTTATGGTTTTATATGAAAAATTATGTTATCATGTTTTTCTATTTAGGTGAGCTATTTTTATATTACTCCATCGTTAATCTACACAATTAACTTAGATTAAACAAATAAACAAATATATAACAATTATCATAGTTGGATTAATATAAGATACGTATTACACATAATGTGTATAGGTATAAGCTGATTTATTATATGTCAATGATTCATTTATAAAAGAATATATTATTTTAGTTCATAAGTTTCCGTGATATTTGAATCATATAACTTATAAGATTATCTAAGATGTATACAATTCAAGCTCAATCAAAATGTTTAGTATCAAAATTATTTTTATAATTTATAATTAGCATCATAATCTATAATTATATAAAATCAAAACGTATAAATCGAATGTAACTTGATAATAATATTTATAATATTTTTCATTTAATTATTAAATATAGATATATCTAAATGCATTTTTAGAGAAATCGATTTAACGCGTTTATTTAACACGAGTATATTCAAATAGTTTAAACAAAATTTACTACAATTTCAATACAGTCTTATACATTTTATTGCTAAATGATCAAGAAATGTTAGTAGATTATTACAACGTTATACTCGTATACTTTATTACAATACAAGCTAGTTAATTTATATCTAAAATAATTGAAATGTTTAAATAAAGAATTTTTTTTAATTGTTTTTATTAGGTCCTGTTTCGAGTTACCTGTCATCAATATACTCGTATCAGATGGTGACACTAATAGGAGGTACTTTGGCTTCTCTGGGTTTGATGCTTTGCTATTTCGCTAACTCCGTCACATTTCTTTACTTCAGGCAAGTAATTACATACTCATACTTACTGTTATTTCTCGTGTACATGAAGTATGTTAATTTTTTATTTTTATTTATCTTTTCTGTACCACGGAGTATATGATAGAATTAATTCTGTTTTTTATATATCGTGAGTCTCTGCAGGTTTCTCAAAATCTGTACTAATATGTTATAATAAATATTTATCTAGATTATGAATAGAATAAAAAATCTTCTATAAATGAGATTTTTTTTTTTTAAGTCGTAACACTAGTTACGTTTGAGTCGGCTGCAACACGATTGCGCAAAAAAATTGCAATACGATTGCGCCCCAATCCCTTTTTACCTTTTAAAATCACAACACCATTGCGCACCAAATATTATGTGTATATAATATGTAGATATAATAATTTATGTATACAATACATACTTTCTACATATAATTTTCATATACATGAACTCAAACTTATTACCTATTAATTCATAATTTTCTTTCCTAATTATTACAGGCTTAAGATTATCAACAAATTATCATCGTTGAGTTATTTAAAAATTGTTTTTTTTCTAAATTACATGTACCTATGCTAAATGTATTGCTGACAAGGTCAACAGTAGAAATTATTTTTATTAAAAATTGTTTTTTCTTTGTATACTGATAGTCATTAGTCGGTATTTTTATTATAACTATCATTAACTCAATCAACTTTTCATTTAGATTTTGAAAAAGTGCTTCTTGTGAATTAATAGTTTGATTGCATGTATATACAATATTATAGAAAGTATATATTGTATACATAATTTTATGTTGTACATAAATTATTATATCTACATAGTAAATACACATATTATTTGGTGCGCAATGGTATTGTGATTTTATTAGGTAAAAAGGGATCGGGGCGCAATAGTGTTGCAAAGTTTTTGCGCAATCGTGGTGTAACTAGTCTGGTCAAAAAAGGAAAAATTGCGCAATCGTGTTGCACCGCTTTGAGTCGTCTGGTTGGGTTTCCGGGTAGTGCTGGTAAGGCTAAATCCCTAATGAACTAATTCAGGTTGGAGAGAAGTTTTGCGTGGAAGTGTTTGTAGTAAAAGTGGGAGTTTCATTGACAGAAAAGATTTTGAGGTAAGAGTTTTTGCATTGTTGCATGCATATTAGAGCGCTTCGGTAATTATTCAACAGCAGATATTTTAAACGTTCGACATTTTAGCAGAACCCCGTATTACTACTCCTTACATTCGAGTGGATTTAGAAGAGTTATATATACATAGTTGTAAGAGCTTAAGGGGTAATGCTAGATTTGAGCGCATAAGAGGCCTTAGTAGGTGGAGTTTTAAGTTGAACTTTTTAAGTTTGCCCTTGAGATGAGATGACCATGTTAGGCGTCTGTCGAATATCCAGCGTAGATATTTCACTTCATTTGAATGAAAAATAACGGCGTTGTATATCAGTTTTATATTCTAACAGGACGGCAGTTATGGAGTCTGAGTGCAAAGGTGACGAAGGAGGACTTCGATTTATTGATTTTAATTTTCCATTTTATGAACTATTAAGAAAGGGTATCAATGTGCAGTTATAATTGAAGTATTGCGGACTTGTTCTTGATCTGAAGCTTTCGATAAAAGTGCTGTATTGTCCGCATAAGTTCCAAGGATTATTTTTTCTGATGTGTAGAAAATATATAGGAGGGGTTCTATGGTAATATGTAGGTGGTGTGTCTTGAGGAACTCCAGCAGCAATGGACGATTGGTTTGAGTGTTGAATGTTGTATCGAACCTTGAATATACAATTGTTCAAGTACGATTTTAATATGAGATAGTGGAGTGTGGGAAATAAAGTTTTAAATTTGTAAAGTAGTGCATCGTGCCAATCGGTGTCAAAAGTATTTTTTTGTTTCTAAAGTGGTTGTGATTGTGTCAGCGACTCGAAGCAGTTGGTGGATCGTGAAGTGGTTTGCGTAAGAACTAAATTCGAATTAAGGCAAGTTTTTGTTTTCTTTGGTAATGAAAGAAAGGCGCTTTAGTAGCATTTTTCCAAGATTTTACCTGAAACTGGTAAAAAATTTATGGGTCGGTACGAATTAGAGTTTTCTGGTGGTTTGCCAAGTTTGAATATTGTAACGATAACTGACGATTTCCAGGTTATTGGAAAATAAGATAAACGCAGGGTAGGGTCATATATTTGAGTAAGATTTATTTATTTATTTCTATATTTAAATGGGCGAACCCAATTATAACTATTATTGACATACTTGTATGTCTAGGATGTACATAATATTTTGTTATTACATTACTATTAATCTTAATATAATACTACAGTACAGATAGTAATATAATTGATTTTAGAATATATTATTATATTATTTTATTATAGAGTATTATATTATTATATGTTCTAAAATTAATGAAATTAGATTAAAAAAATTATTGTTTCAATCGACAAAAAAATGCTTTTGAATAACGATTGTTTTAGATCAGCATTTTTCAATACATGGTTCGAGAATAACATTGGGTCGTAAAATATTTTTGATGGGTCGCTAAAAAATCGCTAGTTCGTAAACTCATAATAGGAAAAATATCTTAGTTATCAAAATATAATTACATATATACTCATGTATCTTAATTCAGTTTTTCAGTATTACATTAAAGTATATGATAACATTTATTATAATAAAATAAGTAATGTTATTATACTAATGTATACTAAGTTTTTTTTTTTTTTTGAGGGATTTCTACCCAAGATAAAGGACATTTTTAAGCTACCTTAGTATGAAGGTTAAAAACACTGTTTTAGATTATATTTCTTCGAAAGAGATTTTTTTATTATATACATAAATATATATTTAAGTTGTACAAATTAATAAATTCGGAATATTTAACAAGAAATTCTAAACGTTTCATTTAAAACAAATTATGATTATATAGTTATATATGTATAACTAGATTAAAATAATAATTTACTTGTTCCCCATCATGTAATTTTTGTTTTGATATAATTTAGTACGAGGATACATATTTTTTCTATTTACTAGATTTAATAAGTTGTGACGTTTAATATGTCAAATAATTGTTATTTAATTAGATACATGGATAACTATTCAATCTTTTGATTGTAATCGGAAGATAATATTGATAAATATTTATAGATATATTGTTGATAGTAATTTTTATACTCACGAATAATTTATTATTATTATTATTATTATTTATCTATTTTGAAATGACACTTGTTCAATAATCGATAACACCACGGAATAATAATAAGAAAAACAAAATTATTTGTATAATTCATGCAAAATTATATTCACAGTTTTATATCAGATATTTAAACACAAGTACCTAAAATATATGGATTAAGTAAATCAATGCATATTTTATTGCAATATCTCAGTCAATGAGTTTGAAGCATAAATAATGATCGAGATATCTTATTTATTTAATAAAAAATAAATAGCGTACCAGATGATCCAATTACTTTATGTAAGATTATTATTATTATTTTGAACTCTATAATCTTTTTGTTTTTATCGGAAAATGATATATTTGTCTACTATTTAAATAATTATAAAACTATTTAATTAATAGTTCATTAGTTATTACCTTATTAATTTATTATAACTTTATAACTTTTATTTTTTCTAAGAGTACATATAATAAATACAATTTTTTGATTTAAACTGTAAATTTTGAATAATAGTAGTTTCAATGCATTTAATCAGTTCTTTTATAGTTTAAAAATTAACAGATTAAATATATGCTCCTACATCTTAAAGATATTTAGTAATTTAATTTATGAATATTCTTTTTCCGAAAATGTCTTGTAAATATACAATGTATATTTTTATACATGAATATTATACATGTATTTTTATAAAAATGTTTGGTTTGGCCAAAAATAAAAATTAGGTACTTTCATAAACGTAAAGTATGGAGGATCAATAATTATTTATTATTTAAATTAGTTTGTAAGTTTACGTCTAATATTTAAATAACTTTTTTTCCACGTCACACCCAAATTTAGTATTTTTAAATTAATTGGATAGCAATAATTATCAATCATAATAATTGTTGATACTAAGTGCTAAAGCCACAATGGGAGAAATATTTACTTAACAATATTCGATTATCGTCTTATAAATCGACGTGTAAAACGCCCCGGATTGATTATTTATTTTTTTACCAACGGCTCTATGCGTCTTGTGTTTTAGTTATGGGATGATGTTTGGATGCGGCGCGGGTCTAGCCTTCCCACCGGGCATATTCATTGTGACTTCATACTTCGTCAAATACCGTGGGTTCGCTAACGGAGTGGCCATATCTGGCAGCTGCCTGGGTTCCATGTTCTTGCCACCGTTCCTAGGATATCTGATCGACAACTACGGTTACAAGTACACAAAAATCTCGACTCTCTCTCTCTCACTCTCTCTCTCTCTCTCTCACACACACACACACACACACACACACACACACACACACACACACACACATATACAAACATAGAGAGAGAGATTACCGAAACGTGGCAGTCCGAAAAGTCGAATGCAAGTTTTGAAGTTTCGGGCGAGTCGCGTCGTCTGTGGGAAAATCTTTATGTAATACATTTATGTTATGTGTGTGTGTGGTGCAGGGAAACGGTGCTGATACTCGGTGCGTTAACGCTCAACGTGTGGGTGGGCGCGTTGCTATATCATCCGGTAGAACAGCACATGGTCAAGCAGTACACTGACGAGTACGAATACGTGAATGACGGGCCGGAAAGCTGCGGCGAAGCGGATGCGGTGTCCATCACCATGTCGGCGACAGTGGACTTGCGCAACGCAACGGTGACCGGTGGCAAAAGTCTAACGGAACTGCGGAGCTGCGGCGTGGCGGGCGACAACGACGACAACGACGATGTCGAGGACGATGGGCAACAGCAGGAAACGGTGTCGTTGCTGGCGCAGAATCTCAACGGGTATGTGATCGTCAACGAACTGAACGCGTCCAGTGTGAAGGTGCCCGCCGACGACCAGTACCTGTTGTCCGGCAGCGGCGTCTTGGTGATCGCGGCGGTGAATAGCAAGGCGGCGCGGGCCGCAGCTGGCTCGCCCAAGATGGCGTTCAGCAGCTGCAGCTTGTTGCGGACGACCGGTGCCACGAACGATCACCAACACCACCTGGTGCCCACGTCCGCCACTATGATGGACGGCCGGTCCAAGGCCAACGGGTCGTCGCTGTCGTCGTTGCGATACGTCAGCACACCGTTCCACGGCAGCACGCTGGTCAGTCTGTACGAGGAGTCGCAGCCCAAGCAGCATCAGCAGCAGCAACAGCAGCAACAACAGCAGCAGCAGCAGCAGCAGCATCAGAAGTTAGAGTTGGCCGCCAACGGCTTGTCGCGCCGCAAGACCATGGCCGGGGCGCTCCAGCTGTTGTCCGATCCGCTGTTCATCGTCATACTCGTGTCGAATGCCACCACGGCCATCGGGTACACGAACTCAGCCATTCTGCTGCCGTCGTACGCCATCAGCATCGGCCACGACAAGAGTAGCTCGCAGTACCTGCTGTCCGTGGTGGCCGTTCTGGACCTAGTTGGCCGCATTGGCGGCAGCACGCTATCTGACTGGATCCGGCTGGACAAGCGGTACTACTACCTCAGCGGTCTGGTGCTGTCCGGCGTCGCGCTGTTCGTGCTGCCGTTCACCGACGATTACCCTACCATGTGCTGCGCTTGCGCCGCGTTCGGGCTGAGCTCCGGCGTCGTGATCGGCATCACGGCCGTCATCATGGTCGACATGCTCGGCGAGGAGCGGCTGTCCTCGTCCTACGGCATCTCGCTGTTCTGCAACGGGCTCGTGCAGCTCATCGGGCCGCCCGTAGCCGGCTACATATTCGAGACGGTCGGCTCGTACAGGCCCGTGTTCCACGGGATGGGCGTCATACTGCTGTTCGGGGCGTCCGTGTGGCTGATCACGCCGTTCCTCAAAAAACCCCATCACCAACAATGACACGCAACGCCGCCGGCCGTCCACCAGGGTCGTCACGCAAACGCGCACGTTTATTGAAATACACCGCACGACCTCATCATATCCGACGCGTATGGCATTGTACATTGTAGTAGTAGATAGATAATCATTGCGATACCATTACCGAATGAACGCGAAATATTTATTACATACATATGTATTGTTATTTGTTTGTATTATATTATAATATTATACGTAGTGAGCCGACGACGACGCGTTCCTATCGACGCGCGCGCGCGCGCACGCGACTGAGATGGGACTACGTTACGATCAATTACCGCAACACGAATGGACTGAATTTTTATTTAAACTTGTCTGCATTGCTTTGTATTTTATTATCTACATAAGTATAATAGGGTGTACACGGACCGACGGGCAAGCGCGTGAAAAATTTCGTTTTCCGGAACGGTAGCGTCTATGGGAGGGGGAGGGTTGTTTATTCGAAACATCGGTCAAAGGGGTTCACGGTAGTTTAACGGAGCGTCAGATTTTCACGGAGAACAGGTTAAAATCCCTGTTAACTGTCTCGTCCGAACACACTACTGTTGCAGTGCACCAACAACATTGCACTCCGACAAATTCGTCGTGCACTACATATCGCGGGAATCTAGAAACTTAGAAAATCCTAAATTTTCAGCGGGGACCACATAATATATAAATATGATAACGTTCAACGGGTAGCACTCAACACCTTGTACGCTTGTGAATGATGTACTCACACTATAGATCATTTGTTGAACAATTTTTTAACCGTTGTGCCTGCATGATCATGTAGTTGAGGATTTTCCAAAACTTTCAAAACACACCGTGCATTGTTAATGCTAAAAAAAGTCGATTAGTTATCACGATATTACGTTAAATATGTGTTATATAAAGACAATTTTTATTAAAGAAATTTAAGACATCACGAATGTATGAGCAATATAGTATTAGTTAAATAGATCTTTTATTCGAATAAATATATCATATTTTCTTGTAATACATAAATGCGTCATCGCTCTTACAACATAAACACAACATAATTGGCTACTCATACACATATTACAGTATTTATAGAGTGAGTTACCGTATTTTCTATATAACAATTATTATCTGTATTCGTTGGTGGCTCACTTAGTATATTTATAGGTACGTGAAAAACATGCAAGAGGCTGTACTTGAAAACATATTCGACCATTCGATTTTTTTACCTATTCTTCCAGTCCCGCTTATTCTTCCGTCGACTTGAGCAACGAATGTTTTATGTTATTATTTTTTAATATTATTATTTCACGTAGCCGTAATAATGATATGCTAATGTTTTTTTTTTAAACATATCACACTAAAATTATGTGTTTTTAATAAAATGTTTTTATACGTAGGCTAGTTTCCCTACACGTGTGCTCACGACTTTTCATTCTAATTTCCGCCGACTATCCATGATTCTCCGACATTCATTAATATACGGAATTAATATACGGAACAATCTATTTTTTATTTTTTCCATCAAAACGACGAATTTAAATATAGAAAATGTAATGTCTAAATTGTTTTTTTCGTACCTGTTTTTTTATTACAAATCTTCCGTGTCTGTTATAATGTTGAATTTTAGTGATTGTACGTTATTTAAGTGTTTTTTTTTTTTTTTTGTTGAAGTTATATTTGTCCGAACTGATAATGTAGTTAAATAGTTAATAATATTTAATAGGTAGTTAGTTAATGAGATATTTTACGGCACCACTGATTAAATCGACAATGTGATGTTTTTTTTATATTAATACAGTTTCCAATAGATACATTGGAAACATTATATTTTCATCCGTATTATAGTTTAAAATATCAAAACAGTACGATAATTATTACTATTAGTATGCATAGAATATTAATAATTATAATATATGGTGGTATTTTAGATTGTCTATGTTACAGCTAGTGTCCGAAGGACGGCTAATATTAAGTTCAGACAATGCTTTTGGCTAATGTCAAAATTTCGGACTTCAGCCACCAAAAAAAATGGATAATATTAACACTAGCCAATAAAACCAACATTATCCAACCGTTATCGGCTTATGACTAAATAACATTAGCCATTGGTAAATTAAAAATTTAAAACTATTTACAATGATAATACAATATTTTGAAATTGTAATTTTAATGAACATTGATATATTGGGTAGTTGTATAGAGGTGAGCCATGTACGTGATAAGTAAAATATTTTCAATTATATAAATATTCTACACAGTTGTGGCATTTTCATATTATTTTGAAATTGATATTGATTGCAAAATTCATATGCATGCAGTTACATACAATATTGTGTGCTCGATAGAGACAGTCCGTAATAATCTACCGTAATTACCGACTCAATTTTGTAAGTAGTTAAGATATTAGCTTGTAGTACTTTGTAGGTATATCTTGTTTTCAAGCCTGGGAGTTACTAAGTTAAAAGTTAAGTTAAATTAACTTATTAACTTAACTTATTTCATTATTAGAGCAAGGAATTTTATGCACTAAAAAATCATCAAATATGCATTTAAAAATATGCACAAAAAACTTTGAGTATTTCATCATAAACGTTATGAAATGTATTTTGTACTTACCAAGCATACGATAAAGTTAACCAGAAAAAATATGCAAATGCATGAAAGTCATTGCTCTGTTCATTACTAATAAATTAACTTAACTTATTTCATTACTAGTAAATTAACTTAACTTATGAACTTAACTCATTTCCTTGCCAATTAACTTGAAATTAACGTATTATTTTTTCGTTTATCCCAATCAAGTTAATTTTGATTTTCAAGACCAGAAAAATATTTTTGTAAAATATCGCATTCCATAATAAGTTCATAGAATTTAAAAAAATATAAAAATAAAAATTTCAAAGAATTTTTAGATGAGACCATAATATTTATCTCAATATTAACTATTGATAGGGGTCCCACCGTTCTTGGGAAAAGTATTCAACCGTTTTCAGACTACTGAGTAAAAATAATCATGCCACCCATGAATTATCGTAAATCTATTAATCTATCTAATATGGCCGTAAATCTGTATAATAAAAATCGGTACATATTATCATTGACTAAATAATTATTATTAAAATTATTCCATAATCTATGATATCATTAAATAAGATTGATATTATTTAATATTATTGAATAAGAGAAGAAATGAAAGAATTTTTGTATGACTTAAATCGTTTAATTATTTGTATGGATAATGTTATTTAAACATTAGCCATATGCATCTGGATAACTTTAAATATTGGTGGATAAAGTCCGAAATTTAGATATTAGCCAAATGCAATGGCTAAACTTGAGTTTAACCATATTCCTAATACTAGTCATAACATCTATATATATATATAAGCGTTTTGTTTTATATTTTTAATCAATCGTATACCTACTTGTATGAAAAATATATAAATCAATGTTATTTAATTAAAATATTATAAGAGTATAAGAAATAAATAATTACAGTTGTAATCTAATTCATAGTCAATTTTTTTATATTTGTTGTTAAATCAATAACTATGTATTGTAAAACTGTGTTTACCTATAATTATGACTATTATAGTGTATCATTCTCATGTACATGTATATTATATGTATTATGTATAATATATTAATATTTCATCATTCCTTAATCCTTATGGTATTAAAAAGTATTCAGTTGGGTGTGAATACTTATGAATTTTTTTTTTTTAATTGCAATAATATTGTTGATCCAGCTAAGTAAGAAAACGATATGTTGAAATATCCAAACATTAACAAAACAATATGTATGATAAAATCAATTATTATATTATACTATTATATTAATTGATTTTATTACGTAGACAGTTCAATAATTGCTGATCAAAGAATCACTCAGTTGTCATAAAACATCTTAGAGTTTGTAATACACAAAGAATGGCATACAATAAGTAAGTACATATTTAAAAGATTTATTATATGTTTATGAAATTATTATTTTATTTGTGAATTTTAAGGGGGAAATATCAAAACAATTTGTATAATAATTATAGGTTTGAATTAAAATAGTTTACTTAAACCCGATTAATTATAATTATTTTATATATTTTTATTACATTTATCGCTGAATAAAAATACCTAACTACTACAAACATTAATCGTTTAAATTGAATGGATTAAATAATGAATAATTATTTTAATAGTAAAACTATTATAATAATAAAATAATATTAAATATAATTAATAGAAGTAAAAATTTTGAATAATTCTGCATGACTGCAATTTTCAACATTCTTTATTTTTCGATGCAGTAGATTTATTGCACTCATAACATCAGATTCGTGGTCAATTTTAGTATTTCTAGATACTGGTCACTAATACAGGTTTTTTCTTAATTTAAAATTCTATTCTGACTCCTCTTCAAAGCAAGATAATTTTATATTATCTATATAATAGTTTATTAATTAATTTTCATTCAATCTTCTAAATTTGTTATTGAATGTTTTTCGTTTTGTTCTATTGTAATTGCATTCTATTTAAATGCATTCTTTCACAGTTTCAAGTAATAGTTAATTTTCAAACATCTTACTTTAGTATTATATTTTGGTACTGTTCTTTAAATCCTTCTTGTGGATTGCTTTTTAAATTAAATCATTTTAAAACTGATGGTTACAACTTAATATAAATTAAAATGTATCGATAAATTTAACCATTTTTATGTCCCTTCTTATTCTAAAACATTCATTAAATTATTGTATTACACTTATTATTATTATTTGCTATTATTTATGTTATTGGTATTACATTTTTTTTTTTTTAGGTAGTAATTTATATAGATGAAATATAGTTAAGACTCCTACTCACATCAGAGTCATAGGCTTTAGTGAGTAGATCAATACATTGTGTGAGTATATATTTTAAAAACTATTGTAAATCATTCTTTTATTGGTAAATATTTCATAATTATTACTATTACACAATTGATGCTCAACTCATTCACATTAAATTTAATAAATTAAACGGCAGTCTTATAAATTCCTATGTTAACTACACTTCTCTAAGTTGTACAAAAAAATATGCCCTCATACTTAATATTTTGTTTACTAATTTTATTTTATTTGTATTTTTTTTATTTTTATATGTATTTTCTTTTATACTTTTTTCTATGGATATCTATTTATTTTTACTTTTTGAGTTTTTAAATAGAATTGGTAGTGGTAGTTATTGTAATTATTGATCCACCGTTAATGACCGAACAATGATAATTATTAAATATACTTTATTAATCCAAAGATTATTTTTGAACACGATAATAGACATTTAATATATACCTACTGACTATTGTAAATCACGCATAAATAGTGGGTTCGAATAAATAAATTAATAACTTAAAACTTAATAGTATTGACTTAATATCAACATAAAGTATAATTGTATATACATTAGTCATGCAATGATGTTGTTCTAAATATTTTTTTTTCGTTTAATTTTGAAAGTTTATGCACATACAAATTATTAAACTTGAATACAGCTATAGATTCAAATTAAAAAAGAACAATGTGATGAAAGTCATCCCCATCTGATCGTCCCGCAACGATTAACGATATATATATATATATATATATATAAAACGATGTTTTAAAGGACTTTTAATGTCGACAGGGGTGGACTGAGGCCCTGAAGGTCCGAGCGGGGTTAAATTTTACAAACTAACAAACAAGCGACTCGTGTTACATGAGAAATGTTAGGTCAAGGTCCAAATATTATTAAACTTTTGAAGGACCTGGGTAGGTTTGGCCACTGAATGTCGATAATATTCGTCACGAATCGCGTCTCGTATGATTGAATTCTAGATCCAGTAGCTTGAGTCTTATTTATATAAATAATTCGAATAAAGGCCGGTTTACACTAATCAAATGTTCACGGACCATGAATTAGTGACTCTAATTCTACAGTGATAATATAAGTACACCCCACGTACGTGTGACTAACTTGTGCAAGTTATGTCCGATCTGTGCCATCACAGACATGTATCAAAGTCTCTTACGTGGTAAGAACATTTTTATATTGTTCGTTTATCTTTATTTATTGATCAAGTTTCTTTATAATATGATAATATATTTTCCTTTTAAATCAATAATTATTTTTTATTTGTTAAATGGTTAATACATTTATTTTTCTGAAAAAACTATTCATTATAATATTTATTTTTCGTTGTAGATATTATTATAATGGCAGAAAAAATTAGTCCGACAAAACAATGTAATTTCCAGTTTTGTCTTAGTTGGTATTGCTCCTCGGAAAAATGTATTTTATCTTTGAATACGAATTACCATTTTTTAGTAAAATATAAAAATGACCATCATTCATCCTCGTATACTGTGGTGTATTGGTAAATATATTTATGGGTATACGCATAAAAAAATTTAGATATTAATCCTAAAAAAATTTTCTCGTTAGGTTCGAATAAATTAAATTAATTCCTTACAATGTAAGTCATATTTTTAACTTGTAATAAAATAATAAAATATAACACAAGGTTCGAGAGCCGATCAGTGCAACTGGATAGTCTGGCAAGCCAAATTAAATAGCACTTACTTTTATTGGAGCAGTTATTTGAATGTCGACAAGCTGTGCACTTACAACTATCACAAGAGTATAATGTGGTTGAAATGAGACAAATACAGGATTTGATGTATTGCAGTTGAACACTTTTCAACACTCGCACAGAAAACTCAAATCAAACAAATTAATTTTAAAAGTTAAATATTCGTATTAACGTAAATAACACGGTGGTCACTCGTCACAGAAGACTCCTTCACTAATCTGTCAGTCCGTGCGCATACACTGACGGCCTAAGATACAGACCTTCCGAAAAGGATATTGTGTCCCTGTTATATAGGGGTAAGGCCGGATCATTTCAAGATGTGACCTACTTACGATGTCAATGGAGTATTGTAGGGTTAGGCCTTTATTGTTTGATTTGTGTTGTCCGTGCGGATATCGAAAGAGCCCGTCATTTTTTTTTCTTTTAAATAGTTTAAGATCGTATGGTATACATTATTATAAAAGACTAGTTGACCCGACAAACGTTGTTTTGTCATATAAATTATTTCTAAAGAATATTTTGCTAGAAAAAATAACTAATTTAATATAGGCATGTAAGGATGTGGATAAAGATAAGGATGTAAGGAAGAGGTATGGAGTGCTATGAACGGTGACGAAATATAAAAATGAAAATACATCAAACATTTATTTTTTTAATAATTTATTGAAATTGATCCATTAAAATTATATATATCGCTAATTATGACAATATTAGTAAAAAACAAATCTATCTCTTAATGCAACAGACTGTATAATATTTTTTGCTATCCCATCTTTCGCCAACACAAACTGGATGGTTCGAGAACACGCCACGTACAATTATCCGTGTAAAAAATATGATGTGCTCAAATCTAAGCCACAGACCGACATCGTTTGGCCTTGAGACTTATTGATAGTCATTTCAAATACCAATCTAATTGGAAATTGAAGGCGTTTAAATTGTATTGGCACATATTTGGGTATAATAGGGATTCGCAGTAATAATATATTTTGGGTGTTGACCAGTTGCCCCCAACGGCTGTTATCGGGATTTTTAAAATATACCAGTTGCCCTCGACCAAATGTACCAGTTGCCATCACATGTTGATATATACACGATTACAATATATAGCCTGTAAAATAGGGGAGGTAAATATACAAATAATAAATAAAATTATTTATAAAAATAATGTAAAATAGTATAAAATGATAAAATCAAATTTTGATATTTGCAATTATATATGATATTGTATTTTGTAATAAATAATAAATATAATATATTATACAAATAGTATGGATAAAATGAAAATTATAACGATAGAAATAAAAAATTCATAATAAATCGTAGTACACATCATATAATATGAATAAGTTAATAAAATAATAAATATTATAATAATTATGTGGCATAATTTTTTAAAAAAAAAAAAAAAAA